AGCGCTTCAAGAATAAAACGAATTTTCAAAATTTATTGCATCATGAGCATGATTTTAAAAATTAAGGCTGAGTGGCATTTCTTTGCATCTTCTCATGGAAAAGGAGGTTGCGATGGAATCGGAGCTAATTTGAAACGGGGAGCAAAAAGGGTAAGTTTGCAGGCAAATTCAAAAAATCGCATTCTTTCAGCTGAAAGTTTATATAACTGGGCGAAAAAATACTGTAGAGAAACGAATTTTCTTTTTAGCAGTAAAGACAGCTATGAACAAACGGTCTTACAGTTAAAATCAAGGCTAGAGGGTTGTAAACTTATTCCAGGTACAATGCAATACCACGCGTTTATACCTATAAATAATAAGTCATTTAGTTTGAAATATACATCTCTATCTTCAAGTAGCATTACTTTTCCAAAAATAAAAATAGAAAAGCCAATAAGTAACTCCGTGAAAAAAGCTGTTAAACGAAAAAGACCGTCAGAAGATCCCTCATAAGAATCTGTTTCGTCAGTAATAAAAACATTTGAATTCTCGATTTTTCCGATGAAAATGGAAAATTTCGGAAAATTGGATAGCACCATTGGAAAGGTGAGAAAAAACTACATCGAAAACATATTTTTGTTAAATTTTTTGAGATAAATTGGTTACTGTTATTGGCACAAAACGCGAACGTAGCGGCTACGGCGCGTGCTGGCCGCGGCCGGGCGGTCGAGCGCCGACTATAACCTCTCTTGTAGCTCGAAATTTTCAGTTGTTGCAGACGCTGAAAAATAGTGTTTTCGACGTAAAAAGACATGTTCTTTCGATTGGAAACATAAAAAAGGGAAAAAACGTTGTTTTTTAAGATAATCAACTTTGAAATATATTTTTCAGTTTTTTCCTGGAAAATGGAAAATTTCGGAAAATTGGACCCCACCATCGAAAAGCTGAGGTAATTTCCCATCGAAAACCTATGTCACATATTTTTTCTAAGGATGTTTAGTGGCTTTTCTGGCGAGTTAGAAATTGAGTGATTTTGCTTAAAATGGCCGCTCGGCCGGGTCGCTAGGACAGTTCAGGAATTTTGCCCCATATATTAGACTAATAATAAAAAAATTGTTTTATTGTTTGTACGCGAGGAAAAAACTTTTCCATTTCATTTGATGTAAATCAACACTCGTCTTGTGGCACGGGGTTTTATAAGCTGAAATTTTGCAGAAATTATTTTTTTTTGGGGTTTGGGGCAGAAATGCCTAAGATTTTAGGACATACCCACAAAAATATATGAACTTCCTAAATCTTAGGCATTGCCCGCAATGCCTACAATTTTTTATGTTGGCTCCGACTCCATCACAAGCTCCTTTACCATGAGCCTCGGCCGAAAAATGCTACTCGGCTGGAACTCCAAAATCTTTTTCGTGGTGTAATAGATTTTGAAAATTATTTTTATTTTTAAAGAGTTGAGCGTCGCCATCAGTAAAATAATAAGTTCGTTCGATCACAAATTTTTTTTTTAAGTAATTTATTATGATTTTTTGATACACGTACACTGCCGCCGTGCCATGTGCTAGATTATCAAAAATGATTGCAATACTTTTGTGTTTTTCCTCGTTACTTTCTCTGTAGTAAACAACAACCGTAAAAATGGTAGTCTGGTTGTTGTTCCAGTGAAACGATTGAGCTGAATTTTGCATAACAAAAGCGTAGTTTTCTGCAAAATCGCAAGTCACGAGAAATTCACCATCCTTTAGATTTTCCTTGAGATGTTCACAGTACTGTGATTGGTTTTTCGAAAAATAATCATGAGTTTTTAATTTAATTAGTTTTTCACATAAAAAATCTGTAAACTCATGAGTATTTAATGTTTGTTTTGCAATGTTACATCTATCTGTGTGTAACCAGTTATTAAAAGTTATTTCGTAAATATTACTATCAGTGAAAATATTAATCAGCTGCTTTTGGAAGAAGGCTTAGAACATACGACAGCCTTTATGAATTCACGATAATCATCTGAACGCAGATGCTTATTTCCAGTAAATTTCAGCTGAGATAATTCAGTAGCTTCCAGCATCAGGTTAACATTTTTGTGCAATGGCTTGGCCTAAGAAGAGTAAATTTTGTAAATCTTATCTGAACCGTTTCATGTTCAGTTTTGAATTTACGATATAAGTCACTTAAGTCACCGAGAAGAAGTCGTTTCTGTATATGAATTCTTTGGCCGTCGTTATTTTTAACCGAAATAAATTCCTTCATTCCGGGCATTGTGAAAGTTTTTGACTAAATTTTCTGTCTCAATTGGTAGTGTTTTACCTTTTTTCTTAGGAGGATAAGTTAAAATGCCGTGTTTGGACACTAAGTTTTTTGCCGTTCTTGCTTCCCAATCGGTACAATTAAATTCTCTAACCATCTCAGCCCGACTCCAAAATTTTGGGGACAGAGTGAGAAGAAGAATTCTCTCATCTTTATTACCATATGCGGCAAATTTTTCTTTAATTTGCTGAAGAATTGCCATACCTGCCGTTTGTGCGTGAATTTGGTAAGCGCGATTTTCATATAATTTCTTTTTGCGTAATGAACAAATTCTTGCGCCATCAAGAACCTGCGGGTAACTCTCTCGAAATGAAGTAGGAAAACTCGTTAAGTTCTTTGAAGATTTCTTATGATTTGCATTATTCAAAGGATTACAGCATCTAAATTTAATAGAAGTCATGATGTATGTAGGCGATGAGAAATTTCTCCAAGCGATGAACGATAAATCGTATTCAGAGTAGTATTGATATGCAAAGTACAATGAAGATATTTTGCACAAAAAAAGGACGGTATTAAGCGCAATTGGGGACGATATGATTGTGAGTTGAAACATGACATCTATTGGCATATTTACTAAAGCACGAAGCGATTAGCTCGGGATGACTAGTGGCGGTTCGCGCAGTGTCTGACGTGCGGGCGGGCGCGCGGCCGTCCGGCCAACATTCATCGCTGTATTTCATTGAGTAATAATCGAGACCACTCTATGAAAATTTCCAAAGAAAAATTGCAAATTTGCATAGAAAAATCTCAAAAATGCCCTTTTTGAGATATTCGACTTTGAAGGTTTTCCGGCAATTTTCTCAGGGAAAATGAAAATTTATGGAAATCTGACCTCACCATCGGAAAGCTGAGGTAATTTTCCATGAAAATCATGTGGCTTATATTTTTTTTAGGTGCATTTAGATGCTTTTCTGACGAGTTACAAATTGAGCAATTTGCCTTAAGGGGAGGCTCTCATCTAGCGCTTCAAAAATGACATGTTTTTCGTGATTTTTTTTTCGTGGAAGGAAGTGAATAATGCAGTCAAATTTTTTTGGTACTTATAAAGTATGTATTCAACTATATTTACAAATTTTTTCAGACCAAAATATCAAATTATTTATCGCCTAGCAGCGTTTGATGGAGGTCGTGTTAAAAAAAGGTACCTCAACGGGCGGCAAGCTAGCGCCTTCAGTTTTTGCCCGAAACTAAAAATGCGAAGTTCCTCTTAAACTCGATGACATTTGCTGGAGGTTGAACCTAAATAATTGCAAAAAAATTAAAAATTGATATAATGGCGGACTTCGGAAAAAAAATTTTTTTTTTTTGCCCTTTTTTGGCTCTTTTAAGGGCTGTAAAAAGTAATAATAATGAAAAAATTTAAAATTTTATAGGTTCAACCTCCAGACAATTTAATTAGCTTTAAAATAAAAAAAAAAAGCGTATCTCTAAGTGCAGTACTTTTCGAAATATCTTGCTGCCCGATTCAGAAAACATAGTTTCGAGAAAAACGCGTTTAAAGTTTTAGAAAGTGAATGTACATACATACATACATCGTTCCCTCGTAAAAAGGCAGCTTCGGTTTTTTGCCTATAACTTTTTGACTAAATCGATTTTGATAAAAAGGGTTCCGGGGGTGTATTCTATGGGACATTTGCTATCTAAGTAAGCAAAAAAAAATCGATTTTTTGATCGAGTCTCATGAGAGCCTGCCCTTAATAAGGCCGCTCGCACGCACCGCTAGAGACTTGACGTGAAATGAATCATATATTCTCGAAGCCCAATATTTTCCAGTTATTGAACTATATAAAAATAGAAGTTACGAGATTGGACTTTTAACATTTAACTTAATTTCCAATATTGGTACATTTGTGGCGACTATTACTCACCGACGCGCACCCTAGCGCCGCGCACGCAAGCGCCTCATCATTGTAAGCGACGCCTGTCGCCTCGCACGCTGCACCATGCCACTTACTCTCGCTCCGACCGTTGAGCTGTACGCTTCTGGAAGCAATAAACGTCTCTCTGCCTCTTAACCTCTACTCGTGTCTGTGTGTCTCTCTCTCTCTCTCTCTCTACCCTTTACCTTCACGCGGGTACGAAGCTACCCCTTCTGATCAGCAATTAATCGTCGACCTGGCGACGACTAACGCTTCACATTTTATAATAAATTACATGTGGATGATACAGATCCGATAAAAATTAGCGAGTGGTAGCTATGAAATTACTGACATCAATCAGAACTTGAAAAAAATCTTGCAGAGAAATAATATTTCATTCCTGCCGAGGGCTGATATGAACACATCAAGAAGTATTCTTTATTGCAATAAAAATATAGATTTTCCCCCAAAAAGCTCTATTGCTCATATGTTGGGCTTCAAACCTCAGATGCTCGAGGTATATATTCAGCATATATATCTGTCTCATCAATTAGTATTACTCATGTCGACTCGTTGGATAGTTTTTGTCAAACTAATCTCTTCTATAAAAAAAAATAAATAAATTATGGAAATTCACACATAGTATAATTTTTATCCTCCTCTTTGATGTGGTTATTGAAATATTGTTCAATATTGGAACAGTTTACTTGTTAGACATTTTTATTTTACAATCAAATAATAACTTAGAGTCAATCGATTATTTTACTTTAATTTTATTTTTTCTAAAAACATCTCAAGGATTTTCAATAAATATTGCAGCAAAATACTCAACTAAATATTTAGCTTTTAATGTCAATAATTGATATTCGTTCTAGTCATTATTCCAATTTGAGTTCCTGAAGCTGAAACATAAAATGAGATATACGACGTGTTATCATTTTTCATTCATTTATGATATGAATATAATATTAATGGATAATGTCAATTTATTTACTTTGAGTCATTTCCCCAACTAATGCTTGTCTCAAAAGATACTAATAAATTCTGATTCATTTTTTATAACAAAAATTAATAGAAAGCACTTGTTTTATTGTAAGGAAGATTTCATGAATATCAGATCTGATTACTATACCTTGATAGTGTTGCAAGAGGGGCATGTATGTTGTACTAATGCTGACTCAATCTCATCATCTTTTAATAACCTACATTTTTTCCGTCGGTACAAATCCCAAATATAGTCCCTAACCTTTGCCCATTTTGAAAGAGGTTATTTTCACATTTAAAAAGAATTCTCCAAAAAGTCTGAATAAATTTACAAGTGGTTTTTGACTAATTTAAAAACTTTTTTGATCTTCGTAGTTTTTTTTGTTTAAGATTTTTTTTAAATAGAAAATCACAAAGATTAAAAACGGGACCTCGGTTGAAAAATTTGCTTAAATTTCTAATTTTATTATCTTCGTTGATTCCGTGTGGATTCCACGAAGTAACAGATTCTACGTTGTAAGAGTATAGATCATTTTGCTAAAAAACTTTCGTTCACATTTGGTTATGCTTTGAACACCTCCAGGTTTCCCTTGGCCCAAAGGTCTTCGGGCCTGGAGAAATGTGAGACAGTGGGAGGGGATACAAGTCTCTCCTGCTGGGAGCCGGACAACTCATCTTCGGACAAATCATCTTTGGACAATTCAACTCGGACAATTCATCCTGGCGACTATTCATCTTCATCACTTTTTGCACTTTATTTCATTTTTGCATGTATGTATATATGTGTAGTCGTGTTTGCAGCTCGCCCCACTCATTAATTGTATTATTAACCCATTAACGACCAAACTGCTTGATTTTTTCCGCAGCTATTTTTTTTGTGGTTTGAGGCCTCTAAAAAGTTTCGTATGGACCTATTTCGATGTAAAATTTAATGTCCTTTCAGAAACTGAGCTCAAAATTTCGATTATTTGCGTAATAAAAAAGTTATGGCTACTTACACGAAAAAAAACGTAAAATTTTTTGCAAAAAATCAGGTTTTTGATTTTTTTTCACCATGTTACCGTTAGAGAATCACGATATAAATATTATCAGGGGTGATCACAACTATCAAGGTATCTCAGAAAATTTTTGTGGAATTTTTGAACTCTTTTTAAAACTTTGGTTTTGTGCACTTTTTCTCTAAATTCAGTAGTTTTCGAGTAAAAATGAGTTATGCTTTATGTGAATATAAGTTATTTTTTGTTTGAAGTAGTGGTTAGAAAATTCCATAAAAATTCCCTGAGATACTTTAACAGTCGTGATCACCCCTGATCATATTTATATCGTGATTCCCTAACGGTAACATGGTGAAAAAAAATCAACAACTTGATTTTTTGCAAAAAATTTTACGTTTTTTTTCGTATAAGTAGCTATAACTTTTTTATCACCCAAAGAATCGAAATTTTGAGCTCAGTCTCTGAAAGGGCATTAAATTTTACATCGAAATAGGTTCATACGAAACTTTTTAAAGGCCTCAAACTACAAAAAAAATCGCTGCGAAAACCAATAAAAAAATCAAGCAGTTTGGTCGTTAATGGGTTAATCTGCTCCGTCTATGCGTATACAATTGTTGACTCGCTATTGTACGCGATCAGTTTCGTATCGTGTGTCGATCTGTGTGTACAGTTTTGTGTACTGTGTCAATATGGTGTTGAAATTTGTGACTAGTCAGCGAAATAAGCAGCTACTGCTGCACAATAATTATTTATATAATATGCAATCATGCTCGGACGCCAAAGTTATATGGCGTTGTATTGCATATACCCGTTCCGTCAAGTGCATGTGTAGAGTACATACCAGTACTGCCGATAAACATGGTGTAATTTTGTAGGAGAGTGATTTTGATCCTACTCACATAGTTGAAGTCACTGAAATAAATGCACTCAGAGTGAAGGAGAAAATTAAGAAGGACGCGCTAAAGTCTTCAGACAATCCATCAACTATTATCGATAAACGTGCTCATAACATTCATGCTTCTACCTCTTATCTCCTGCCGAATCCGAAGTCTATGTGACGTACGATTCAGCGTGAACGTGTCAAAGTTTTAAATGCCCCAGCTTTACCTACAAGTGCTATTGACTTGAGTGTGTCCGATATGTTTACTAACCCTATACGCGGTGATACATTTTTGCTGGATGATTACGTCGCTGATGATATTAACATTTACCACGGCTGCTAATTTGAAAATCTTACGCCATTGCGATATATGGCAAGGTGATGGCACTTTTGTCGTTGTTCCTGTCATTTTTGATCAGTTATATACCATACATGGCCGATACAAAGATCACTTGATACCGCTCGTTTATGTACTAAGCACTCATCGCACTACCACTGTATATAAACATGTATTACAGGCATTGCTTAATTTGTGCAGAAGATTACAGCCGACTAGAATGATCATCGATTTTGAACAGTCCTACATTAGTGCATTTAGTGACGTTTTCCCTGAAGCTACCATACACGGGTGTTACTTTCATTTTGCCCAATGCATTTGGAGACACGTTCAGAAATGTAACTTACAGATTAAATATCAAAGTGATTAAGAATTTGCCCTGCAAATTAGACATTTAATTGCTCTTGGCTTTGTACCTACTGCTGATGTTCCATTTGCATATGCTAAATTAGTCAAGACCTCTAACTTCAAAAAAAAACGCCTCTGAACTCAAAAAGTTTCTGACTTATTTTGAAAAATCATGGATTGGTTATACCAATGGACGCACTAAGAAATTACTTCTGTATCCTCCAACGCTTTGGAATAATTACGACATAGTCCTGACCGACAATAATCGGACAATTGACGGTGTTGAGGCATGTCACCGTGGATTTAGCCACAAGATGCACAAGAGTCACGAGACGATTTGGAAATTTCTCAAATGCATACAAGTCGAGCGGGGCATGCAGGAAAATGTGATAAGTGATATTCAGTGTGGCAAGATTGTGCGTAAGCGAAAACGTCGTTCAGTAGAATTTGATGAACATTTAATAACTATTGTATCTTCGTATCTTAAAAAGAATGTTTTAGAGTATTTACGTTCCATCGCTGTTTGCGTCTTTTTTCTATCGTTTAAGCGATCTGGTTAAATCTTTCATTGTTATTTTTGTTTTATCGTAATATTGATTCTATTTGTTACAATGTTTTTACGCGTTAGGTATTGCGTCTTAAGGGGACACATACACCTTAAACTCGAAAATTTTTTTATTGCTTTATTGAGTAGGATTTTTCCGTCCCTTTCCATTGCTCTTTTCGAAATTCCAAAATTTAGATTTTGCCCTGAGATACAGCTGTTTCCGTGAACCCTTTTCCTATACTTTACGTGTTAAACTTTTTCTTCTTTTGCGTTTTCTGGCGAATAGTGTTTTTGGTCATCTATCGTAACTTTCAGTGGGTACGGATTGAGCTTCAGCACTAGGGTCGCGTACACTTCTTCAGAACATCAATGGTTACGGTCACTACCTCGGATGAGACGATCGAACCAATAGGTCGCTCTCATACAGTACTTTTACGACTTAAATTTCGGTAAATACGAAAAATGGAAAAAAATGTGTGCTTAACTGTTCAAGCAGAGCGATCTGCCCATTCGATCGTCTCATCCGAGGTAGTGACCGTAACCATTGATGTTCTGAAGAAGTGTACGCGACCCTAGTGCTGAAGCTCAATCCGTACCCACTGAAAGTTACGATAGATGACCAAAAACACTACTCGCCAGAAAACGCAAAAGAAGAAAAAATTTAACACGTAAAGTATAGGAAAAGGGTTCACGGAAACAGCTGTATCTCAGGGCAAAATCTAAATTTTGGAATTTCGAAAAAAGCAATGGAAAGGGACGGAAAAATCCTACTCAATAAAGCAATAAAAAATTTTTCGAGTTTAAGGTGTATGTGTCCCCTTAATAAATCGTTGTTTTCTGTCCCATTAAATACGACTTTACTTTTTTTCACGGTCATTGTACAATTTTTTTTTTTCCAGGATGAAATGTCGCGACGGCAAAATGTCGTAAGATGATTTGTCCAAAAGATGATTTGTCGAAGTTGAGTTGTAGAGTTGAGTTGTCCAAAAGATTTGAAGTCGGTAACCCTGCTCATGGTCTATGCCGCCTGCAGAACTCCGCAAATGAAAAGAAGAAAAAAAAAACTTAAGATTACGCTCATTTATCTCAGATATCTTTTATTTACTTTGATTGTTAATACTAGCGTGTTCAAAACATAACCAAAAAATATACGCAAGTCCTTACATAAATGATCCATGTAGATTTCACATAGAATCTATGTACTTTTCAGATAGCATTTTCTACGCAGAATCTACGTGGAATTGACGTGGATGATCCATATGAATATTCACTAAATTTTTAAAGGTGAGATAAAAAAATATCATAGAGTATTTGATTTTTCAGATACTCCAACAGACATCAAAGATAAGTCAACGTATCCAATCAATATATTAGGGTCAAAATAATACTTTTTTACAAAACCATGCGCACGTATGTCACCGATCTTGACGCGCTTTTGGTATGTTATAGTACATGGTAAAAAGGTCCCAAAAAAAAATTTTTAGACCCCTTCCCCCCTTCTACCCCCCACTTTCGTACCGAACTTATAGTCGAAAAATGTTTTTGTTGTTGTTCATTGCAATTTTGTGAAGCTGTTAGAGACAGCTAAAATTATTTTTGTTTTACTTTGTAAATATAATTTTTCCAGCCAAACTGTCCCGTTGTGATTTGGCTTCAATGAACTGTTAATCTAATCTCTGGCACTAAACTTTCTAATTTTTTACTTGTATGACTAAGATATTTATCATTATCGTCCTGAACTATTCATTAGCCATAATGTCTTTATTACTTTAAGGTGATGCCTAGGCCACAATTTTTACCGACCGAGCTCAGAAAATGTATATTTTCGTAACTTTTTTTCCAGGCTGATTTTCGTAAAAAGGCTCTGTGGAGCCCTCCGTATTGTTGCTGTGAACAACTGTACCAAATTTCAGCCAATTTCATCGGGTAGTTTTCCTGGAAAACAGGATCGAAATTTTTGACTATTGTTTGCAGGATAAAAAACTTTGATCCTGTTTTCCGGGAAAACTATCCGTTGAAGTTGACTGAAATTTGTCGTCGTTGTTCGCAGCAACAATACGGAAGGCTCCACAGAGCCGTTTTTCCAAAATCAGCTTGGAAAAAAAGTTACGAAAATATACATTTTTTGTGCTCGGTCGGTAAAAATTGTGGCCAAGGCATCACCTTAAATGACTGACAACAGACCAAATACCTTATGTTGAAAATTGCTCAACTTTTTTGGACATTGCTTTCCGCAACTCATCTTCAGGAGCTATTGAATAGGAGCATTTAAACGATGATTTTCCATACTCATTCATAATACTAAATAACTTTAATTATTGTGCACCGAACAAAAATTGGAAATAACATTTTAGTAAATTGACAGTAATTGCTGTAAATTCGGACACAGTGTGTTCTAGTACACCAAATAACGATGATATGGGCAAGGGTCTCAGTAGCTCAGATGGTAGAGCACTCGCAGGTTAAAGGCGAGGTGTCGTCGGTTCGACTCCGACCTAGGTCCATATTTTTCGTTCGGCGTACAATAATTAAAGTTATTTAGTATTATGAATGAATATGGAAAATCATCGTTTAGATGATCCTATTCAATAGCTCCTGAAGATAACTCGCGGAAAGCAATGTCCAAAAAAGTTGAGCATTTTTCAACATAAAGTATTTGATCTATTGTCAGTCATTTAAAGTAATAAAATTATATTTAATACACAGACGTTAAATAAGAGGAAAAAATAATAAATTTCTATTTTGATATTTTAATTCTTGTGCTTTATAAAAGTACAAAAGCCTAAATTTTTTCATGTGACATTCAAAATTAAGATATAACGAAAACGCATGAGAATTCACCTCTTTTTTTTCATCGATTTCTTGTTCATCGTCAGATCCATGCAAAGAATTGGCTGGAGTAGTATGTCGAGAAGATGATGGCGAAGATGGCTCACTTATCGGCTTCGGATACTTGAAATGTTTGACTTTTCCTTTCGATAACTCCATTTCTAGTTCAGGAAAAACTTGTATCATAGCTTTATTGCGAGCTTGCTGGTAGTACTGAAATTACAATTTATAATTTTGTTTTTATTTGCTATGAAAATGAAGTATCGAAAAGTTAATTCGTTTATTGCATTTTTAAGTTGTTTATACTTTTATGAATCATTTCCAAAAATTTGGTATTGAAATTCAACAGTGAATTCTAGATCCCCTCAGCCGATCCTAACCAAATTTCACTCACTACTTTATTATTTTATATAACAAAAAACATTTAAAAACATATAAAATTATTTGCCGAAGAAAAATAATTATTCATAATTGAGTGATTGATATTGTGTGCAAAATTCGATTAAAAATGACCAAGTTAATCTGGAAATTAACTGGCCCCTGCAGGTGAGCTTTGGTGATGGCCAACGAAAATTTATAAAATTTAACTTTTTCTCAAGGCTTAAAATCATAAGTACCATACTAGACGAATAAATTTCATTTTTACAAAGGCAGTACATACTTAAAAAAAAAGGACTCAATGAATATGAAAAAAAAGTTTGATAAAATTTTTCTGTCCATAAAATCGCCAAACAAGTTACATGTAACAATTTAATGAAGGTGCCAAGAAAAAAAATTGTTTCAAATATTTCTGCTCCCAATCGTTTTCATCACTACTTGAGGATAAAAATAAAACGTATTCCTGGCTTTGGTCAATATGCAACTTACTTTAGAAAAAAACTCTGTCGCATGTCACAGAAGTAATCACAATACTAAAGAATTTTTTAAACAAATGAGTCAGAAAGGACTCACACTGACTTTAATATATAATTAAGTTGCATGTTTCAAAGTCTTCTACAGGCTGATTCAAATTATTATTAACATTGTATAATTATTTAATATGGTAACATGGTATGATTGACTTCCTTCTGTAATTTTTTTTTTGGTTGACTGACTTGACTTTATTTTTGTAATTTTGTAAACCCGAATCCATTGTTGGTTTCTCTAGGTTGACTCATTTTCATGATCATTTGAAGGTCAAATAAAGGAAAAGTGGTAAAAAATATTAAAAAGAAGTGATGGATCTAGTATCCCTTCTGGTACTAGAGTCAAGCAAAGTGGGTACGCAGAAATAAAGGTAGCACGGCAGCTGAGCTGAATTACCTCCCCAAGGTAGGTTGTCCATCGCAGTTGGCACCTGGTGGCCAATGTTGAAAGCTCAATGAAGTGACTATATTTTGAATTTGAATATCGCGAGTCATCATTAATTCATCATCGTGTTATAAATTGCCCAGATTTCTTATTTTTCAGAGAATAAAGTAATTTCGCTGAATTGCACTGACTTTTGCGGAGTTCATGACAAATTAAGATTTCCTCGCCCAAAATCGAAAGGTGAGTTACTTGGGCCAACAGCTCGGCCCTCCTCGGAGAGGTCAGCGTGAGTACGAGAGGTCCCGATAATAAATTCTTGTCGACGGCATTTGAGCTGGGTCTTACCCGATAAGGCCGATTTACCCGTCGCGCTTAGTTTGAGTATAGTGGGATAAAGAGGGGTGAGACTGTAGGTAGATGACCTGTCAAGTTGTCAGGGACGATCAGACCTCGGCTTACGAGCTACGTTCTTAAGTACGGCCGGGACAGATAGTGTCGTAACCACGACGATGAAGTTCGTCAATCGGTGGATTTGGGTAATTCAGCGCAAGTGTGTGCTTGTTTTCAGTTGAATAACTGCAAGTCAGTTTGGTTACTGCACAGCTAATTCAAGTGTCGGCAACTGAAAGCCAGACTTCCTAACCATCTAACTCTAGGAGATATGTCGGCAAGCCGAAAATCGGAAATTCGGAAAGATGAAAATCTCCTGACCAAGCTATCACGAAGTTGTGCGGTGAACTGGAGTATACATCCCCGACCAAGTCTCGCTCACCAGACAGAACAACTCACCTTAGCAAGTTAATTTGATCCCAGGAAACGAATGATCAATGACAGAGCACACTAGCGTATATGTCAGTGGCTTGATTTTCTATTTTGCAAGAACGGTGACACCTCGAGTAGGCACCACCTGACGATGAAGAAATTTAGCAAAGGTAGCTCTAGTCTAAACGATATTTAAGCAAAATCTGTGTAAGCCAGCTAAGGCTTTTGATAGCTGTCAGCACAGCAATTTCTCGCGTAATGCACGTACACAAATATCCAAGTCGAAAGGAAAGTACCGTCTATTTCCCCTTCAAATTGCCCTATGCACGTGTATGAGACTTACGTTTTAACTGTCTCTCTCTCTCTCTCTCTCTCTCTCTCTCTCTCGCTCTTATAGCTCGGCCTCTTTCTCTCTGTAGTGTAGAACGGTCGTGTGTCGGATCGCTCCCGGTGTTTGGTGCTCGTGTGCTGGTTAATTGTGTTTTAAATTTTTTCGGACTTCGCCTGGGTGTGCGATTGGTCTGCATTGACGTTTTTGACATAGCTCGACGCATGCTACTTTGCTCGTCGTGGCTGAAAAAGCCCATTTACGATGGCTGTATCGTCAATTTTAAAATTTTGGACTTACAGTTCGACGGACGGCTGACCCCGAGGTGGGGGAAAACAGCAAATCACCTGCCGTCGAATAAATTTTCTATAGGACCACCTTACCTGGTCGAGTACTCCCAGAGGGGATATTGGGCCCGTCGTCAGTGCGAGCTTACTGAAGACTCGCCTACTCACGGTAGACCTTCTGCAACTGGTGCTGAAATCCGCGAAAAAGAACGGTCGCGAAATAACTAGGCTATGATGTCGATTAAATGTGATGCTTTATTTAATTCAAGGCCCAATTGGCCGAAAAACCACTTCAAATTGCCCAACGGGCGATAACTTACAATGATACGCGACGAGGCACAAGTTCGACTTAACTTTACTTCCGACTTTGCCCACCAGGGGCACGCTCGGCGTTCGCGTCTGTCGTATCTCGTGATACGAGCCTAATCAGCCGAGTTAATATGGCCACTGCACGCGCGATCTATGTGACGATATCGAGTGCACGTGTACCGACGCGACGTGGTACTCGCACGTTGATCTCGACGATGCGTTTCGTACTTGGCCGCGGGCGATCCGCCCTGATGCGACCGGCCCGGATGTCGACGTACACACACGCACACCAATACTCGGCTTGCTGTGTATCGCCGCTGCGATACTCGTCAGCCAAGCTCGCACACCCACAATCACACGCCCGCGACCCCGCAGTCGCGTCGACCAATAACTCGCAAATACTCTTAAGAACTAGCCCCAAATCTTCGGCGCCTCGACGTAGGATCGGCTCCGTTTCTCAGCTGACTCTCGGCTCTCGTCCGGGCGTCGGTGGGCACGTGCGGCGACGATGTACGCTCTTACGCCCACGTCTGGGCGGTGATGTCCAATCTGGTCTGCACGTGTGCAGTCACTGGCAAAGGCCCAACTGGGCGAAACTTACACTGGTGCACTGGCTTGCACAGGCCTGGTTGGGCGGAACTTGCCTTACCGGCGAACTTCCACACGAGCACACACACGACAATTAGCCCTCCTGGGCGATCTCACACACGTATGTTTGCGTCGGCTTTCTATATCTGCCGTCTCCTACGAGCACAACACGCGGTGACTTTTGACTTTCTTACTTTCCCACTTCATCGGCAATAACCTCGAAACTCTGCGCGTTCAATGGCTGCCGTGTGTAACTCACGTGTCTCGACGTCTTGCTTACTCGAGCTATTCTGCCACGATCTATTGCGCGCCGGCACGTCTGCTCACGCGCAGCTGTCTGTCTCTCTCGCACGCGCACGCTGCCGCACGTGCCGAAGCGTCGTTGCCTGCTGCTGCCACTGCTGCTGTTCTTGTCGACCTGCAAGTCGCGAAAAACCTACACGCACACACACAAGCTCGCTCAAGATATGCGAAAATTCGCGGCGCGACGCTTACGTGCCTTGTGCCCCGTCACAGCGGATTGAATACACTAGGGGGTTTTTGGGATCGCTGAAAACCTGGAGTTTTATGGGAATATTTTAGATATCTCGTCGAAACTCGTTACTTGGGAGTTTTCAAGGTCTCTGAAAATGAATATCACAGTGAAAATGGTTTTCAAAGTATCTGGTGCCATGCCATAAATTTTGTTTTCAAAAAAATTTTCAAAAATGTGCAAGTATCTTTCAAGTGTTTATAATTATTTCTTAATTAATTTACAAGTTTTCCACATTTTCTTCCTCTATGTACTCATCTATTTATTGATCAAAGTATATAAGCTTCTTTGGTATATTTCGAGCTTTAGTAAACATTGTATCACTCGCTAAATATTCAGTGAAATCATCCGTAGTATATTCTATGATATAATCAAATAAAACCTTTACAACTTTATCGATAAGTTGATAATGTTGAGGATCTTTCTCTGTTTCTTGATGGCTTTTGCGCATAATGTCGGATACTTTGTTTTTAAAACAGAATTATACTGGTGCACCCATTTTATTAACTGTGATTACATCATCTTGATAATGATTGTGAAATGTATTAAATATTGTTTCATTGCTTGTAATAAACATATTATTTTCACGTAAAACTTCATGAAAATCGTTCATTATAAATTGGTCGTTCTTGTGATCATCAAAAAAATTAAATATTTTTTCCATTAACTGCTTCATTTTATTTTGAACGCCTGCTGATGAGAACTTATACTGTTATTCTCTTTGTTATTGTTATTACGAATGAAATCATCAAAACCTACTTTCAAAAGTAAAAGTTCTTTTTGTTTTTAGAACTTACAGACAAACAACCAAACGAAATAAATTAAATAATCCCAAAAAACCCTAGGAGTCGAGGTATATAGGGGCCCGTCCTGGGCCCAAGGTACACAGTAGAACATTTTCGTTGTGATATTCCTTTTCAGCGACCCCAAAAACCCCTGAGTAACGAGTTTCAACGAGATATGTTGAATGTTCCCATAAAACTTTAGAATACGAGGTATATAAGGGTCACCCTGGGCCCCAGGTACATCGTAGTACATTTTCGTTGGGATATTCGTTTGCAGCGATCCCAAAAACTCCCGGACGTAGAAATTAGACTCATTTTTACCGATATTTAGTGAAATACACATATTGACAAAACCGGGAGTTCAAGATGCATTTCTAAAATCCATTTTTCTCATCCACGGATGCAATTTTTCATTTCTCCCTCATAAATTTTGTTCACAAAATTTCTAGACGCTTTCCCAAATCGAATGCCGAAAACTGCATCTCGATCTCGACTTACTGTTAAAAAATTGGACGCTTTATTTCCTCCACTACTATGTCACTTGACTAGCGGGAGTTAAGGGACAAGAGTCCAATCACTTTTTTGTTCTTACTTTTGTAAAAAGTCGAACATTGAACAGCGGAGTGACTTTGGCCAGGAGGCCCTGACACTAGTACTTATACTAGTAGAAAAGTCGGGAAGGTGGTGAAATGATGAGGTGATTATTTGTAATTCGACAAAGTTCAGTAATAAGAAGTTGCCCAAGGTCGAAACTCTCAGGAGTTAGTTCGTTCTGACCCCGAGTGCATCTTTTAAGAGGGGACGCATGCAGCGATCTATTTTAACGAGTGGGGGTAACGAAATTAAATAGTTGAAATGAAAAAATATAAAAAAGTAACTTACCACTCCTAAATTGCGCCAATCTAACAAATCACTCAAACGTTCTGTTCTATTTCTTTGGATTATACGTTGACGTCTGTTAAGACGACAAAAATCAAACATATATTGAGCTAGTTGTCGAACACTACCTTCCAAACTAATGAATCTTCGATCAACAATATAAATTCCGTAACTCATTGGGTCTACAATATGCTCCTGCATAAAACAACCAAATCCTGATAAATTTGTCGTTATGCTTGGTATTCCCATTACCGTACATTCAGCAGGTGTATAGCCCCACGGTTCATAATACGAAGGAAATACTCCTAGATGACATCCACGCACGAATTCTTCATAATCCAGGCCAAATAAAGGATTGGTAGAAGATAAAAATTCTGGGTGAAAAACCACCTACATAATTTATAAAATAAAATTATTTAGTTAAATGTACATGCTTTGATATCATAAAAAACGTTAATAAAATATGAATTAGTCGTATGAGATTTTAATATTTGTATTAACTCTACAGTGTGTCCGTGGTATTTCTCTCTCTCTCTCTTTTGTCTAGCAGTGTTCAAGTGACTCAGCAATTAGCAAGTGTTATAACTAATTGTAGTTATTTATTCAATTGTTCAGACCTTGAGTTTTACCTCAAATAGTCTAGGAGTTCATTTTTGTTATATTCGAAACTGTTGCTTATGAGTAGGTTGGAATAATAGATGGAACACGTCGTGTATATGTCTGTTAGGTATATGCGTATGGCGTATATGAGTTCGCGTCGGCGCGGGCTTATATTATAAGTCCTGGGGCTGAGCGTATGCGTGTTATTGTAGTAGCCGCGGTGTAGCGTGGGTGTATGACTGTTGGAGAAAGTGACTTGTGTGCGTCTGCTATGTATATGCGCACGGCGTATATGAGTTGTGTCGGCGCGGGCTTCTATTGTAGGGCCCGGCACGGAGTGTATGCGTGTTATTGTAGTAGCCGCGGTGTAGCGTGGGTGTATGACTGTTGGCGAGAGCGACTCGTGTGTGTCTGCTAAGTATATGAATACGGCGTATATGAGTTCGCGTCGGCGCGGGCTTGTATTGTAAGTCCCGGGACTGAGTATACTTCTGCTGTTGTAGCAGCCGCCGCACACACAACAGGCAACGAGTCACGGCTCTCCGGTGTTATGAAAACACCTGTATATCTGTCAAGCACACGTGCTTGACGGGTGTCCGCTATTCTAGCGCTAGTTTCGCTTTGTTTTAAAGCGAAACTGTCGAACTTGTTTTAAGTTCTTTTTGCCGTGAGTTGTTCACGGGCTCGCAGAGGAAGAAAAGGAATTCAAACACATACGTTATGTTGTATAACGTCTCCGTGGGCCGTGTTATACAGCTGGAGAGTTTGAGAGCAGCAGACGAGCTTGTTTTAAGCTCTTTGCCATGAGTTGTTCATGGGCTTGCAGAGTAGGAAAGTGAAGGAATGAAAATGAATTTTTGAACTTACTCGTTATGTTTTATAACGGCTCCATGTGCTGCGTTTTACAACTGGAGATTCAAGGGAGAATGCGAGGTCTGTTGGTTTGTTCATCGGCTTTTTATACTCTCAGAATCTCTATTGTTTTAGGTGGGCTAAGTACATGCTGGAATTTGATTTGACCTAATGTCGTAAAATTTACGAGTGGGCTGAACAAACCAACCGTCCTCAGATTCTCGATCTTTCCACGTCCCACGGGCCAAATCTTTATTATAAAATATTAGACATAATTGTTGACAAAAGTGTGATACAGTGAATTGTTTAAAATCAGTGAGTTGAGACGAGTGCAACGATACCAAACAGTGCATATTTATGATGACTCAGTGTTCGTTCGTGAAGTGCTATTGATTTCATTATTATTTAATTAATTGATAGATTACTTGAGTTTGATATCTGTGGTATAGTGACAATTGGTATTGTTTGATATTCTTGCACTCGGCTTTAAGCTTAATGTAATGTTGTGTTTGTAAATAATCATTTTGAGTCGTTAATACAGCCACGTGTATTTATACTTCTATGGAGTTATTTTCTATTTAATTGACATCATTGAGTTATAATAAAAATTGAATTCATTAAACATAATAATTAAACATAGTGAGTTAAAATATTTAGAAATCATATAAGAATAATTAATCATTTGTTAAAATGAGATTCGTTAATCGGGTCGGTAACTTAGGAACTCTATGATCTAGGATTGATATTTTTCTAATGTGGGTAATGGAGTGATTATCGATCGATCATGATTGTAGGCGGGAAAGAAAAAAAAACATATGATATTAGTGGCGGTGATGGACGTCACACAAGAAAACAAATGTTACGGGACACAAGAGGCGAGGGCTCGAGCAGCCAACAGGCTGGATAATTCTTGTGATAGCGCGCGGGCATGCGTGCGTTTGTGTATGTTTCCACGATTTCCAGTTCTGTGCAAGTAGCAGCAGCAGTGAGCGAGAGACAACAACAGCGGCATACACATTCGAGAAAGACAGAGAGCGGCGTGTCAAAACAGCTGAATTTAGCGCTGCGCAATAAATCGTGGAATGGTAGATTACGTTAAGCCAGAAGAGAAGCTACATGAGGCAAGTGACGAGTCCGCGCAGCAAAAGAAAAGTAAGGATATGGGGGCAATAAGAAGTGACAGCTCAATCAAGTGTCAAGCTACGATCACCTTCATTCTTTGTATGTGTGTGTTAAGTCACCCAGAGTGACGAGTGTAGAATAATCGTGTGTATAGTCACCCAGCGGGGCTCAGAAAGTTTGCCTAAGTAACCCATGTCATGTCAACAAAATTGTGTTTCTTTCCAATAAAGTTTATAATTTTGCTTGAGGACTTGTACATATGGGTCAAAATAATACTTTTTTACAAAACCGTGCGCACGTATATCACCGATCTTGACGCGCTTTTGGTATGTTATAGTACATGGTAAAAAGGTCTCAAAAAAAAATTTTTAGACCCCCTCCCCCCTCCTACCCCCCACTTCCGGTATAAACGTCCATTTTCGATTGATATTTTTTCTGAGGACATGAAGCAATTAAAAAATCTGAAAAAATTCACAAAAATACTTTTCAACAATCCAGACAACCTTGAATTTTTTCAGATTTTTCAAGTGCTTCAGGCCTTCAGAAAAAATCATTGAAAATTCTGAAAATCGAAATACGGCTGTATGAGCCGATATAGTAAACGGAAATTTTTTCAGTTTTTTATTGCATTGAGAAACATAACCTCAATTTTTTTCAGACTTTTTCAGATGACCTAACGCACCTTTTGAAGCAAAAAACCGCTTTTTTTGACGAAAATAATTTTTTTAGGACGGTGCGGAGCCTTGAAAAATCTGGAAAAATTTTTTTCTTGTTTTTTCCATCAAAATACATAACGTCAAATTTTTTCAGATTTTTTAATTGAAGGCGATAGCTTCTAGAGCCGAAAAATGCTATTTTTAACAAAAAAAGGTTCCTAGAACCCGATGGTTCCGGTGAAAAAATTTGAAAATATTTTTTTCGAATTCCTTGTCAAATTTTAATAAATTTTGACCGTCGCCAAATTCTGATTGAAGCCTCCTAGCTCAATCTAGAGCATCAAAATAGTTTCATTATTTCTTAATGTGTCTTCAGAAACGTCTTCAGAATTTTGCATTAATCTTTGTCCTGGGGGCTGTTATCGGTGACGGGGCTGGTATCCAAACCAATTTTGCATTCAGAAATGAATAGTAGATGCCAGGTGGACTTAATTGACTTTCAATCATCAAGTGTCGATGGGTTTGAGTGGATAATGGTATACCAGGACCATTTTACGAAATTTGTAGTTCTGAATGCATTATTTATTTGAATACAAAACTTTTGTATTCAAATAAATGCGTATTTTTTCACTTTACATTAATTTTTTACTTAAAATTATTAGCTCACAGTAAAACTTTACAGTAAACATTTACCTAAAATTGTTCAGGCATTGCGGGTTTTGCCTAAAAAATTTTAGGCATTGCGGGCAATGCCTAAGATTTAGGAAGTTCATATATTTTTGCGGGTACGTCCTAAAATCTTAGGCATTTCTTTTTTTGCCTAGGCAAAAGTCACTTTTGCCTATAAGCGAGTTTTGCTGGTAACATATACACTTCAGTTAGTTATAAAATTCAGTAGTGAGTTTTGAGGCCGCTAGTTCAATTTGCTAATAAATTTGATTTATTAAAATATTAATGAATTAAATTGTCATCAATACTTTTTAACTGATTAAAAATTCGGATCCACGTCAACGATCAAACGCTTTTGAACAGAATCTTATTTCACGCAAGCACACATATATCATTTACCGCAACTCGTGAGGATACACATGTTCGTGAAGCGCCAGCCATATGAGATTCCTATAATGTGTTGTTGTTGGTCAAGTGACATGCTCAAATACGCACAGCACGCACGAGAGAAAAAATTACACAATGCTGCGTAGACGTTGCGTAGACATGAACACCGATCGCGTTGCAGTAGATGCGCCCCTAAAACTCTGCAACAGAAGCAGCTGCTAGCGTGGACCACGCACAAGTTTTCTGACTATATTGTAAAGGAACTTGGCTTGTTTTATGGCTGCTGATAAGTCAACGAGCGCGTAAACACGCGTACCATGCGAGTACTCGCACACGCATATGAAATGAACGCAATGATGAGAATGGAAGTACAGGCAAACCCCGCTATTCGCAGATTCCGTATTTGCAATTTTCCGTATTCACGGTACCCCTGTTTGTGACCCAACATCAGTATTCGCGGTATTTTGTTTTCGTATTCGCAGTTTTTTCGCTCAAAGTTAACCTTTTTTTGCGCATAAATTAAAAAAAAAATTTTTAATTTTTTTTTAAATGACTCTTCCTTTGGAAAAAGTACCGGTTAACAATGTAAAGACGAGGAATAATTAAGTGTTTAATTTGTTGTCAAAAATTTTAATTTTAATTTTTCCCATTGAATATGATGGCATATTGGGAATAGAGTTTTTAAGAAAACAGAAAGCCATCTTATTCTTCGCGGATAATCGCATCACTATCAGTGGCCAATCCTCCTGAGAGCTACCCCTCATACAGTACAAAACGTACTTTCTGGGTGCTCGTGCCTAAACACTCGTAAACCTCAGTTGCAAGTTCGGAGAAGGCAGCAGTTACGTCTCCCACATCAAGGCAGGCCTGATATTTTTGCCGGAGAACGCATCGTAAAGGCTTACGATCACCCTGCCCCCCCCNCCCCCCCCCCCCCCTGTTCATCGTTAACGCAACATCCTACGACATAAACTTCACCCTTCCTCCAATCAAAAGACACGAGTTCGAGACCAGCACTCAGGTGCGCCTCGCGCGGACCGCAACCCATTCACAGCATGACTCGGACACGGGGAGAATCGAAGCTATATGAAAATATCTGGATTT